GGCTTCGAAATGGGATGCTGTCGTTTGAGTCGTAGTCTTAAGCCCAACCAAAAGCCTCAAATCATACTGATTGAGGCCAGGACCAGCTCCTGGTCCTTGCAACCGGCGACCTCTGGCACAGGGACTTATCACCAGAGCTGTTGTTCCTTGCGGCCTGGTCCATGTCCTCTTGTCTCTCCAGCTGACTCCAGCTTCACTTGATCTAGGCTAAGATTGGCACCACGCGAACGTGAAGACCCGAAGAACCCCAAGGCCCTGCGACACTGGAGCCCCTAAACCGGAAACATAAATACACTTACATAGGACCTGATCAGACTTATATGACATATGCACCCGTTTTAAGCCCCAAAATGCCCCAAATGCCGCAACTCCAAGAGCTACTTGGCGGGACCCTCGGCTCGGCCTCTGCCAGCCGCAAGGCCCGGCGGGTTGCCGGGACGTCGCCTTTTCGCAGAACCTCCCAGGCAGGTATAAGGACTTTAGGAGGATCATGGGACTTAGTAAGTAAGGTTATAAGTACCCTAATTGGGGTTATAATTGTAGTTACCTTATTGGGCTTTTGTCGGCCAGAAAAGGCGAGGTTTTGGGCGTTTGAAGGGTTGGGGCATCAGGATTTAAGGGTTTGGCGCGGACTTTTGGTCTCTTTTCATCTTGGGGGCTCATGAAAAGCTGTTGAATCTTTATCGGGATTTAGGATTCTGATTCTGACAGGGAGCAGGAGATGAAGTTACGGGAGGCGCTTCGAGGGTTTTAAACTAGCTAAGTACATGTACAGTCTGTACAGTCATGTACCTTGGTGGTGCACAAGGTTTCAACCATCTTGCAACCGGCTGCCTCAGGTCCTGACATGCCAAGACAAGGATTTATCAGGTCGTTGTTGGCACCCCAGCATGGAAAGGAACTACCCTTCGCATTGCCGCTGCTTCTGTGATCGCCACCTTTCCCGGCGCCGGTTGTGGTGGTGACTGTTGCGAAACCTAAAATGATGGCTCTGTGAAAGGCGCCCTAACAATGACTCAGCAAACGCTAAAGCGTGCACCCCAAACCCCCAAATCCCCCCTCCTGCCCCGACCCCCCAACAGGCCCCAGTGCACGGCGCCTCGTGCAGTTGCTTGAGCCGCGCCAGCTGCAACTCGGCTGCAGCCAACAACTCTGGGGGCACCTGCAGGAGTCGACTTGACGCTGATGGTTGACAGCGATTCGAGTGACGTTCGCAACTTGCCTTCTCGCGGAGATGCGGGGGCCGGGGGCTATGTCACTCCGCTTAGCACCGCTTAGCTTCCCCAGGGCCTTGGCATCTTTCGAGGCCTGCAAGGACCGGGTCCGCTGCTCCACCTCGACGGCTGCCTCAAAGGTCTGGGATCAACGAGGCTCAACTCCCAAACTTCTTACACAAGTTTGGCTGCCCCGGGCGGCACGGGCATCCTCGTCTTCAATGCATTGCAAAGTTCATGATTCCTCTGCAACTGCAAACTTCACAAGGCTCCCAGGAATCCTGCTGTCGGTTGGAGGCTGCAAACGCTAAGTGAGGATTGCCTATTGGGGGTTGGCGAAAATAGGGGACCCTAATATAGTACCCTAAATAGTGGACCCAGACCCTGCAAGGGCACCGACGGCAATGTCCGCCAAAAGCCGCTCCAGCTGTCGAAGAAGCTGCGTGCCCTCCGATCACCAGCTGCGGCTAACGGCTGAAGTGAGCCTACAGATTTACACATGCACATAAACAACCGGCTAAGCTAGCTGCATAGCTTGTTCTGTACAGTAGGTAGATAAAGTTCGGTACTCCGCTACTCCACAAGACAAGACAGGTCCAATAGGTCAAAACTCTTGTCCTCCCGATGTGCTATGATGTAGTCGTGAGACCAAATTTAATTACGTGTTGTAAAAAGTTCTGGCGGCAGGCTTAGGGTGGCGGTGGATGTGACGTCAGCCCAGAGCACAAGCATGCTCGGAATGCGCCAATCCCCGCTTTCTCGAAAAACAACTCAATACTATTTTCACTTGAGCTGCGAAGGGTTTTGGTAACACACGACGGATTGAACGTTGTTCGCGCGGCTGCCATCGGCACATGCAGTCATTGATGCTTCTTGGTGAGCTGCCAACATTTAAAGGCATTGAAGACAGCGTGCGGGAAGACAACTGCTTGGTTGGGCGGGTCGTCATTGATCTTGGTGAGCTGGTGAAGAAATCAGCAGGATTTTCGGCTTCATCACAATCTCTATTGATTGAGTGGATCACCTTGTTACCGTGTGAGTGTTTCAGAAGACCTTGGATGCAAGCTTTGCTATCAATGTGGCGCATCTTCCCTGACCCCCCTCGCTCCCATCGCATTCTCGTTTTGGGCCCCCCCTTTGTTTATCGCTTTTGAGCCCCCCCCCCCTCCAGGTGCGAACACAAACACCTTTGGAGGGAACAGGGGCGCTTCCACCCCCCAAAACAACGCAAAAAAAGGCCTGTTACCCTAATCGACCCCAAGGCTGTTGTCTGAAGGCACATCGTTCTCGTGGCGAAGCATCTAGCTTCCAGATCGCGTTGGCGGTGACGGCCAGCTCGAAGATTGAGTAGGTAATGCTCATGTACTTGGGCTAGGTGGGTGGGTAACGGCAAGTACGTTCTTTTTCTTACCTGCATTCACGCACCACCTGTAATATATATATATATATGCATGCATTTTTATTGTTGCTATCATTATGATGTTCATCTACCAAAGCGCTTTCGCCGCGCCAGGCCTCTTCGATCCTCTGCTGGTCGACTTGGGACCTGAAGCGCCAGAACTCTCCGCTTGCCCCGAGGCCCCAGGCCCGCAAGAAGCTCACAAGCAGACCTCTCAGACTTTCCGAAGCCGCAACCGGGCCTTTTTTAGGAGATATGGGAAGAAGCACATATTAAATACATATTCTGGACTCAAGCTCTGGGTCCCTTCTGGACCGAACCCTGACTTGGAAATCCTCAAAACCCTCAGACCGAAACCCAAAGGAGCTTCAGGACCCCCCGAATTGTGGGGATCCGGACGTGGAGGCTGTCTCTAGGGCGGCCTGGAGTTGCGCCGGAAAGCGTGCCTCCGGGCTTCTCCGGACGGTTCGCTTTCAACTAGGGTTCGCGTTAGGTTTGAGCGGTTGCAAGCGAGTAAGCTGGGAGATTTACTCCTAGAGCCTCAGCTTTGGATGGAACTGGGAGTCGACTTCGGCTCAATTTCTCACCGGAAGCCAGAGAGGAGGCCCTTGCCTGTGAATTCAGGGTGTGCACCAAGGCATCTGCTACGGGCGACGGCAGCAGAGAGAGCGAGAGCATCAATAGCAAGAGCGGCAACAAAACCCAACGTACCACAATAACAATGACAATAATGAGAATGATAAGAGTCATGATCGTCGTAATGATCACAGCGATTCAGGCCACGATATTGATCGTGAGAAAGATCACAGCTGTAGTGCTGTTGATCCTGGCCAATGCCGCGGCCGCAACAATCATCATCACAAGCGTTGCCCTTTTTTTCCATATAACCCTAACTCCACCATGAACCCGAAGCCCCAAACCCAACACCACAAAACTTCGTCATAACAACCAACCCTCTAAACCTCCTGTGAAGGTACTGAACCCCCAAAAGTCAGAAAAAAAGCCAGAGCCTCCATCGAGGCTTTGAGCTGGAACGCGGCGTCGTCGCGCGCTTCGATCTGCCGCGCCAGGAGCTTCTGGGCCTTTGGAGCGCGTCGGACCGAGGGGCTCTCAATCGGGGTTGAGGATCTTAGGGTATCTTAGGGGTTGAGAGTATTAGGGTTTAGGGTTTAGGGCTTCGGGGCTCAATTAGGGTTGAGGATCATAGGGGGTTGAGAGTATTAGGGTTTAGGGATGTTTGGGGGCTGCAGGGCCAGGGGGGAAATGATTTGATCGGGGCTTGTAATGCTTCCGTGGGTTTTCGTCTGCGGGTCAGAGAGTTTGGGGTAAGGGCTGTGGGGTCTCAAGAGATGAGGTGGCTTGAAAGGTTTGTGGTTCACAATTGGGAGGCTTCAAGCTCTAAAAATTGAGTTGAGCACTGCTCTTTCAGCAAATTTGAATGATTTGAGGATGGAATTCACATCGTTTGGCGCCAGAGATTGAGTTCTGAAACGATTCAGGCTGGAAGGTTGGTCTCTTCCTGAATGCGCCCCTGAGCCCTGTCTGAACCCCAAGCGCCAAGTAGCCTGGACTTGGAACTGAGCGAATCAACTAGGGCCCCGGCCCTCATGATCAGCTCGTCCTCCCGAAGCCCCGACTTGTCCTGGTTCAATTTGGGCTCTCACTACATGTGCAAGCATGAAGCGCATACGTTTTTGAGAACCTGCTGCTGTTGACTTTTCACTTCAACAAAGCTGCTTCTGGAAGCATCGTTCGGCGGAAGGGGCCGGGTGAAGGGCCCCTCCCTTGCAAACACAGCTCTCCCTCCTATGATGGACTCTTGGAGAGGATTCAACAAGGAAGTTACAGCGCGCTTGCACGACCTAAGACGAGGACGGGAGGACGGGTGGGTCGAGAAAGCCACGGCCACCAACGTTGATAACAAAAACGGGGCCCATCTTCGGGGAGCTGTGACGACAAAAGCGCTGGGCAGAAACCTGACAGTGAGGAACATGGCAAATCATAAACCCTAAACCCTAAAACCCTAAAACCCTAAACCCTAAGGTGGCGCTTGCCAGGGCCGCGGCCGAAGAGTCCAATGCCCGCTGCAGATCCCGGATGTCCCGCGAGATCAGCGAAGCCTTTCCGGCTTCGTCGACGATTCCGCTCACTGCCCAAATCTACATTGACATAGACATGGACCTGTGTGGCAAAACCTGTTAGTTCTGCGTGTTCTGGATCCCAGACACACGCACACACACACCAACACCAACACCCGGCACCACATCAAACAACAATTGGCGACAAGAGAACAGAGCTTTAGCATTCCGGGACTACGCACATGATGTTGCCTCGCCTGGGGTACAACTGAACAGCTGACGCCAATTACGCTACAGCGCAGCGCTGCGCTACGCACTTATCGGAGCTTGCTCGCTACCGGCCCTAGATGTCCCCCCTCTCCCTTTCTGCGGCCCGGCCTGCAACAGATTCTCCGAGTGTGTGATGGCTTCGAGAAGAGACCTGTGCATGTTAGGAGATAGCCGTGGCCCGAACATGGCGACCGTCGCTCTGATGATCCGAAGTTTCAACACACGGCGACCTAAGATTACAATTGCGACGATAGCCGCAACTCCTACTGCACAGCAACAGAAACAGCAGCAGCAACAGCAACACCAACAACCACCACAACCACAACCACGATCACCATTGCGAGATCTGTACTAGGTCAACGCATGCCGGCACAGCCACCGCCACTACAGTACAACCGCTAGCAGAAAGAAGACACACCCACATCTCTTCCGAAACTTCCATAACTACACTGAACCTGTGAATCTCAAAATACGCCAAGGCCCACACCGTGCCCCCTCTTCCGATGGCAGGTGCATATCTTTCGCGGTGTCCAGCGCCGCCCTCAACACTGGCACCCTTGCAGCCTGAAAGGAACAGGCGCTGTGGAAGACACCTTGGGGCCTTTGGGGTTTACGGCTGGCGGCTGAGGCACTTAGGGTTTGCACTACCGGCACGGGAGCTTGTGAGCCCATCTTCGTGATCGACAGCCCGACAGCCCCTACCCTACACCACGAACACATCTCTTCTCAGCTGTCCTGTTGCAACGGTCTGGGCTTGCTCTCCAGACACAGTTCGTAGCCCAGCATGCGTTTCCCTGGTGCACCCTGCGGGGGTCATGAGCAATATGACCAAGGAGCGTTCTGGGCAACAGTTCGGGGGAGAGCAGGCACAGCTACAAATGCAGCAGCCCTACTTTGTCTCCCAACTCCTGGAGACGCAAGTCCGACATCCCCTGAAGCCTGAACCCCGAAACCCTCAACACCCATACTGCCTCACAACATAAGCTCACCGAAGCCGGAAACATCCAAAGCTTCCCAAACTTGGAACCCCCCCCATCCCCCCGTTTGCGGCAGCCTCCATGGCCATCTCTAGGCCTTGCTGCGCAGCCTGTGAGGGAGAAAGGGACGGGACTTGGGCGCGGGACTTTGGGTCCTCGGGAAAAGCCCCCAAAGCATGACCTTAGGGTGTTAGCTCAAACAACGCCAGCCACTACGGCTTCTCTGTGACATCTAAGGTAGGGCGAAGGTCAGGATTTTGGGTCGCACGGAGAAGCCACATTCAAAAATAGCTGTATGCACCGGATCTCCACTAACCCGACTCCAAGTGCCGAGCCTCTTAATCGGAGCATTCGACCCTGCCTCCCGGGTGCCCAGTCTCTGCACGGCACGTTGGAGTATCGCCGCGGGCAGCCGTGCCTACCAGAGCTGCGAACTTCTGGAGCGAAACCTTGGGGTCCTAGGTAGTGCAGCAAAAGAAAGCCAAGGACCATGCTGGCTCCTCGCTTGGAAACAAACCTGGAGTATTTGCGAGTTCGATTCAGTGCCTCGAGCCTCGAGCAGTCCGAACTCGCTAGTGGCAGCTAGTGTCAACCCCAAATTCATTCAGCGATACGTTGGAGTATTGTCCTGGATTGACTCGACACAGGCCATGACTGCGTCATCTGGCAACCGGGATCGAGGCACACAAGCTCTTAAGGACGCTTTGGGAGTTGGGTACCGCTAGGGACCGGAGTCCTTCGGCGTTCTCGAACCCCCGGAACTGGCCCGAAACCCGACAACTCGAGCTCCGAGTCTCTGAAGGCCTCGTGGCCATCGCGGAGCGCTGCGCGCAGCGCGTCAATCCCCCTGGGGGCATGCCAAGCAAACGGGGCCCCGTTTGGTCAACTTCGTGTCACTAGGTGACGCTTCACTGCGGCAACCTCGACGTCCCGTTGAAAATATGTAGAGTCAGCTCGGAAGCCCCAGGCAGCTGCGCAGCACCAAGCCCCTGTGCCTACCCCCTGGGACCTCCTTTGCTTTAAGCTGCGATCCACTGCTGAAGGAAGCAAAAAGTAGGACTGGACCCAGGGCAGGGCTTGGCTGTGTCCAAGTTCTTGCAGACGGTCTGGAGGTGGTGTAGCAAAGCCTCTGCCTGCAGGACGGATATATAATTTTAATATATGTATATTCTGTATCTATATCTATTTTTATAAATATCTATATCTATATATATATATATATATATCATTATTATTATTAGTATATTGGTCTACATATATATATATATATATACACTTGGCTGCGGGTCAACCTCGCGAAGTGGAGAGGCTCGTGTCAAACAGCCGACATGCCAGCACAAGCTACCGGGAAACATGCCGTACAGCACAACCAAACTCTGCTCTGTTGTAGAGTATACTATACAATTCCGGCGTACTTTCGGCACCTTGCAGCCCTCTAACTATCCCTCAGTGACTTCGACATCTTCAACCGTAAACCCGAAACGGCCCTGTCGCAAAAGTGAAAGACGCCAGGATTGTGGCCTTCTGCAACCCAGGAAGTGCCACCTGCCCCAGTCGTGGCAAACCCGGGGCAAAAAGTGTCTTGAAACTTTGGTGTCTTCTGCCTGTTCTCTGCTCTTTTCCGGACTGGACGTCCATTAAAGCGCTTCGAAAGTCTTGGGTCTTTAGTGTCCTGTAGCTGTGCTTATCCATGCTGACAGTTAGATTCAAGCTTGGATCGATGTGTACTTATGTGTATACTGGCTGATTGCTTGCTTGCTTGGTTGCTTGCTTGATTGATTGATTCAGTGCTTGATTCATTGATTGATCGCTTGATTGCTTGCTTGCTTGCTTGCTTGCTTGATTGATTGATTGACGGACGGAGTTGCCGCTTGCTTGCTTGCTTGATGGATGGATGGATGGATGAATGGACGGATGGATGGATGGATGGATGGATGGATGGATGGATGGATGGATGGATGGATGGATGGATGGACGGACGGACGGACGGACGGATGGATGGATGGAGAAACGGATGGATTCATGGATTGACTGATTGATTCATTGGTTGCTTCTTCATGGATGGATCGACCGAGTGATGGCTGCGATTCTTCTGAACTTCAGTGATGGCCAGTAGTCTAGTAGTCATTTACGACTACTGATAACAACAACAGTAACAATACATGCAGTAGTAGTAGTAGTAGTAGTAGTAGTAGTAGTAGTAGTAGTAAAAGTACAGTAAGAAGAATAACACTACTACTCATAATGCAATACTATCAATACGGTGCCCTTCGAAAAACCTTGACACCCTGCCCTTGGACCTTGTGAGCTTCGCCGAGAACATGCTGAAGACGCTCCGGCTCCCTGGACAGCATCGCTTCGCCAACCTGTCCCAAACACATAAAAATCTTAACCATACACATCCTTTTGGGGTTCATTGCGTTTGGGGAGTGGCTTGGGGCTTGAAGGTCTAAATGCCGTGACAGCATGAAACGAGGCAACGCATGGAATGGCGCATGGAATGATAGCAGAGCAGCACAAAGAGTGAAATGCACAGGGTGTATGGGGAGTTGGGCAGGTGCGTCTTCAATCGCTGCTCCTGACCGCCTCTGAGACTGATTGCTGTTTAAAGCTCTGCCAGCAATGCTCAGCTAGATCTCCTGCTTCGCATCGTGACAGTGGCCGTGGTGGCAAGCGACTGATGAGCATGGAGGCTGCCATGGACTGTGTTCCGGAACATCAAGAATCCGGTTTGCGCTGAAGCTGGGCAATCCTCGTCAAGGCGCATTTCCAAACTTTTTTCTGAGCATGTCAACTCCGTGAGGACTGCCTTCTGCAAGGGCGAATGTGTCGTGCGCAGCTTGGTGAGAAAGGCCTCAACGTTCAACAGTGTCATGTCTTTCTTCGACTCGCATTGCTCACGAATGACCTGATCCACCATTCCAAAGTCTGCAACACCGTCCTTGCCGAGGAACGCATAGCAGGTGCACAAGACCTCTTCCTGAAGGATGGAATCGAGCTTGCGGAACTTCCGGGTCCCGTCATCACACGAAAGCACTCCACTTCCATCGACATCGTTGCGCAGACGCGCACCGGCTGCAACTGAGTGCTGGATGGCAACCAGGCTCGCTTTGCTGCTCAGCTTCAGGGCTTCATACACTGGGTCCACGAAGTCGGGGTCCAAGTTCGGCTGAGGACGCCTGCAGAGACGTGGCATCAGACGTCATTTTTGGAATGCTGGGGGTCGTGCCACCTGGCAACTGCGCTTGGGATTCTGATCGTGTCTTCGAAGGAGCATTGCTGACGATGCGGGGCACTTCCATCAAGCTCGGGTAGCAATTCTGCTCGTTGAGATCCACGCTGAGGTCGTTTCTTGTCTTTGTGTGCCTCCTGCGTGTCCAGCATCATGCGGAAACGACCCATAGCTTGCCACGCCACTCTGTCGCACATCAGCAGCTGGGAGTCCTTGAAAGCCTTGTGCAACTCGTCCGTGTCAACGAAACCGACCAAGCTCCCGATGGACGTCACGTCGGGACCAAATCACCCAGCCCCAGCCAGGTCTATTTCTGTGTGCACGCTGCTTCCTACAGTGGTCCACGGTTGCACCTGAAGTCGCCGATGGAAACAATTATTTTCGCCTATAGAGGCACTGAAAACCCTAGCCGTTGCCTACACTACGCGACTCGGTCATTGCATTAAGTCATTAAGGAACCAGCTTGTCCTGGAATGCTCCTGGAGCCTTCAGCGCCCATACGGCAAGCAAGCTCTCTTGGCATGCGACATCTCGGGGCTGTTAGATTTTGCGGGGCTGGGGATCCACGACGTGAAGTCAGGAAGACAACTGCTCCGCCTTCGTTTGAACAGCCTGCAAGGTCTCGAGGAGCTCGGTGGCCTCTGAAGCACGTGTGCTCAGGAAGGCAGCGACAACATCTTCCCTGTGCTCCACCCCAAGACGCGCCCAGCCCCAGTAAACCCAGCAAACATACCGCCTCCGAAACCAGGGTCTTGTCGTCAAACTCAATGTCGCGAACGTCCTGCCCGTGGCGCATCGCCCTCGATGGAAGAATTAGGAAAAAGAGAGGTGTCGCGGGTAAACTGCATCCTGGTCCTGGCATGTCCTGGCCGTTTGAACCCTGAGCCCACCTGAACTCAGAACTCAAACTCAGAATAAGAAAAATCCCAGTCATTATTATTATTCTAACTATAGTATAATATACCCCTTTTTCCCCCCCCCAGTTAAGGTGAACCCTGGTGGGCGCCTTCAGAACTTTCATCAGGTCCTCCGGCACCCTCCGCTCCATGGCCTGCTCTGTCAATCTGGGGCACCGAGTTGCGGGCCCGAGTCCGCAGAAGGGGCTCATGAGTAGTGATTACATTACATTACATTACATTACGTTACATTACATTACATTAGATTACATTAGATTGCACATTAGATTACATTAGATTACATTAGATTGCATTAGATTACATTAGATTACATTAGATTACATTACATTACATTACATTACATTACATTACATTACATTACATTACATTACATTACATTACATTACATTACATTAGATTACATTAGAATACATTAGATTACATTAGATTACATTAGATTACATTAGATTACATTACGTTATGCGTGAGGGTTTGGTATCGATGATGTGTTGTAGATGCTCACCTCACCGAGCGTGTTGTTGATATAGTTGTGGTATTGCCAATGCAGAACTCGCACGCGCAATTGTACACAATGTAGAGCGGCGCACCCTTCCTTTTCTCACTCGCCTTGGCTGACGTTGAGTCTTTGCAGTCGGGATTGGCTCTGTCCTCTTTATGCGTCGAAATGGCAGAAAGGCTGCTATCACTTGCTTTAAGGTAAT